AAAAAAAAAAAAAAACTTCCCGCAACCCTTAAGTTTTATTTCCCCTTTTAAAAATCCTCCCGTAAAAACCCTTAACATGGTACCGGGGTTTTTTTTTAAATTAATTCCTTTCCCCATTGGGAATTAATCAGAAAAGACTTTTGAAAGACTTTGCAGATTTCATTTTATTAAAAGAAAAAAAAAAACACAGAACAGAAGGGAATGTGGCTAAATGGTTAACATTTGTTAAAGCTGGCTGTTGGTTACCATTCTCACTGTCCTTTTCTGTATCCTTGGCCGAATTCATCATTTAAAATGAAATAAAGCTTTTGGCCCCACCCTGATTTGTCTAGAGCAGCTGCCGCCCCCGCCACATCTCGGGGGCGGCCCCAGCTATAGCCACCGTCACTTCCGCTGCCGCCCGCCCGCTGTTATCTGGCTGAGGAGGAGCCAGACCCCGAGCAGCGGCTTTGGCTTTGGCGGTCTTGGCGGTCGGAGGTCCCAGAGCACGAGGGCGCGCGGGTGTCCGGACTGGTGAGTGAAAGGCTGTAGACGTCCTGCATTCATCCAGACAGGGCGGTGGGGCGAGTGGCCGGCGGGAGAGAGGATTTGGAGAAACTCTAGCGAGCAGATTTTCCGGCTCGCCCCTCGGGAAGGGGTGGGGCATTCGCGGGACCTGACTGCAGTGGGAGGCCTGTGTCCTCCATCGGCCTGTTTGGGAACCCCATCCTCAGCCCCTTTCCTGTGGCGTGGCCCCCCACTCGAGTGGCTTTAATCACTGAGGGGACTAGTGGTCCCAGCACTCTCCCACCTCTCCCTGCCTCTCCTCCTTTCTCGGCCCCTTTGCAGCCCCCATTTTGCAGTTGGTTTGCTGAATGTAAATTGTTAAGATTTTTAGGTAAATATCTTTTTTGTTAAAAAAATAATTATTCCCAGGGGAAAACTATTCCCCCATCCGTTCTTTCCCCCTTTCCCTGCCACATTGGTTTGGATTTGCCATTTGAACCGATAATATTTTCCTGGTTCTCATTTTGACATTGCAGCCTGCTCCCCCTCCCCTTACGTCTCCCTCTACCTCCCGGTATCCTCCCATCCCCCTCCCATGTCTCTCGCGTGCAAGGACACACACAAGCATGTACATACACACACATGCATGCCCATGGGTGCACACACAGAAACATTCCATTGAAGCCACCGCCCCCCGCCCCCCCAGGACTCAAGGTTCCTGTGTGGCCCTTCCCCCACACAGGACACACGCTCACACAGTCACACCCTGCAGTGCCTTTCCCCAGATACATATACACACAACCTCACCCCCCAGGACCGGCCACATACATATATAAGGATATAGTCAGAATGCTGGCTCCTCTATCATAGGCCCCTTACATAAAAATACACCCCACACACCCCTCCCAAATGCTCCCCTCTCCTGTCTACTACGCATGTGCACAGACAGCCCTCTTTTTCTGGTCCCTGCAGTGCACTGTTGCCTTCCATTTTGACGAACACACACACAGTCATGGACACACCTGTCCAGTGCCACCGTACCCTTCCTTGCCTGCTACAGAAACATAAACCCAGGTGTCTCTTCACACATAGGATCACACGTGCACGTTCTGTTTCTCTCATACTTATACACGCCCCTTTCCTCTGAAGCCATCCTACCCACAGCTGTCATTTTTATACCCACATCCAGAAAGGGTCTTATTCTTTATGACACACTTCTTCCCAGTGCCACCATCACCTGCACCATTCCCCTACAAACATAGCCATCTCTCCATTGCATGATTGCTGTTCCCCTTCCACCTGTCCCTCTCCTTCTGATAGACACGTATGCACTCAGTACACACACAGTGATCTATATTTTCCACCCTATTCCAATTCGCAATTCTCCTGTATGTCTGCAGGGCTCAGAAAAATGCAGGCACTCCATAAAAACCCACAGTAGTCTTTCCTCTTCCCATGTTGGTGCAGTTCCACAGTACTTCACCCACCCACCCAGAGTCCAGTCACCCCCCAATATTCTGTCAGATTCTCCCCTCAATTTCACTTTCCTACAAACCCAGTTTTGTAATAATTTTGCCAACATTAAAAATGTATTCCAGTCTACATACACCTGACAGTCACTGGAATGCTACTCCAGGCTTTAAAAGAAAGTGAAACTAATTTTAAAGGCCCCTTATTCTTTCTGTTACCTGCCTACTGAAGTGGAAAGAAATCTCCCTGCTCCTTTATTCTGAACTGATTTGACCTTCCCATCTCCAAAGTGTGTACAGGGAGCAGGAGCCTTTCCACTTGAACCCCAGCTTTATTGGAAATCCTCCTAAGTCAGAGCAGTGGGTCAGGAATCTAGCAAGCCTCTGTGGCCCAGGCCAGCAGGAGGGTATCAGTCCCATACAGGAAGGAGGTATGGAAGAATGCATGCCTATGTCAGTTTCAGGCCATCCACGAGCCAGCAGGAAAGGATTTCCAGCCAGAGAAAGACGACACCCGAAGTCCCAATGCACAGATCAGCCCCCAGTCAAACCACCAAGAGGAGCCGATCACCATTTTCCACCAATCGTCATCGTTGGGATGACAGTGAGAATTCAGGAAGCAGCCTGACTGTTGATAATGAGGACTACTCCAGGTACCCGCCCAGAGAGTACAGGGGTCTGGGTAGCAGAAGAGGAATGGCTTATGGACATATTGACTCTTTCGGGGCAGATGATAGCGAGGAGGAGGGGGCTGGGCCTGTGGAGCGAGTGCCAGTGAGAGGGAAAGCTGGCAAGTTTAAAGGTGATAAGCTGTATGACCCAGAGAAAGGGGCAAGGTCTTTGGTTGGTGTGCCCCCCCAGTTCTCTAGTTTTAACAGTGATGTGAGAAAGGAGCTTGATCCAGCCCCTACAGTGATACGCTCTACTGGCAGAGCTGAGTTCCTGCAGCAAAAGAGCATGGCTCCTCAGACCTCTGCTGCTGACACGAAGGTGGCTACAAAAGGCGACAGCCTGGAGAGGGACAGACAGGAGCAGAATGTACCTGTGCGTCCCAGCAGGGGTCCTGTGATTGTTCGTGCTGGTGGGGAAAACACCCCTAAGGTTGCAGAGGAACCAGTGGTGAGGCCCAAAATCAGAAATCTGGCCAGTCCAAACTGCGTGAAACCAAAAATATTTTTTGATACTGATGATGATGAAGATATGCCACACAGTACTTCCAGGTGGAGGGACACTGCTAGCACTGGTGAGTGCCACTTGGGCAGCCGGGCAAGGAGAGGCAGAGGCGAGAGTTCAAGTGGCTACTCTGAGCCAAAGTATCTTGAGGATGAGAGGGAAGCCAGGAACGACCAAGTGAAGCCAGAAAAGGTGCCAAGACGGCGATGTACCATGGCCGACCATGACTTCTGGACATTCAATGATGATTACCACAAATACTGCGATGAAGACTCTGACAGTGACAAAGAGTGGACTGCTGCTTTGTGTCAGAAGCATGGAGATTGGGAGAAAAACCCGTCGTCCAATGGTGAAACCTGGGAGACTCTACCGGGGAAAGAAGAGCACCAACCTGAGCCAGCCAGAGTGAATGCCGGAGTGATTGTCAACACCGGCGCTAGCCCCAGTGCTAGTGCCATGACTGGCAGCAGTGGCAGCAATGAACTTGAAGAAGTTCAAAGACCAGCTCTTCAGGAAGTGGAGCGGGCATTGCCGGAAGAAGGAGAAGTTCCTTGGCTCCAATACAATGAAAATGAGAGCAGCAGTGAGGAGGATAATGATTCTGGTCAGGAGTTTCTGCATCCTGGGGTCTTCATGCTGGATGGCAACAACAACCTCGAAGATGACTCCAGCGTGAGTGAAGACCTAGAAGTGGATTGGAGCCTCTTTGATGGGTTTGCAGATGGGTTGGGGGTGGCCGAAGCCATTTCCTACGTGGATCCTCAGTTCCTCACGTACATGGCACTTGAAGAACGCCTGGCACAGGCAATGGAAACGGCCCTCGCACACTTGGAGTCTCTTGCAGTGGACGTGGAGGTGGCCAATCCACCAGCAAGCAAAGAGAGCATCGACAGTCTACCTGAGATCCTGGTCACTGAAGACCATAGTGCAGTTGGGCAAGAAATGTGTTGCCCCATATGTTGCAGTGAATATGTGAAGGGGGAGGTGGCAACCGAGCTGCCATGCCACCACTATTTCCACAAGCCATGCGTGTCCATCTGGCTTCAGAAGTCCGGCACTTGCCCTGTGTGCCGCTGCATGTTCCCTCCCCAACTTTAAGACCAAGGCTCTTTCCTCTTGGTCTACTATTTTCCCCATCTGAAAACCCACAATACTGCAGGATCCCTCTCAGAATTAACAATTGAAATGAAACCAATCAGTCCATTAATCTAGTATATCAGTTGATTTCTTGTGATCATTTCCAATGTGAAACGGTTGTGTACAATTGCATTAAAAACCATACTGTGTTTTAGAGGTGACAAAGGGAAAACTAAACTTTCTAAATGCTACTTGAGATTGCAATAAGAACATACATTTTCTAACCTGAACATTGAAATCTGTTGCATTTGTTTTTTCAGTAGATATGTTGCTGTTAATTATAATATCAAGTTTATCTGTTAAATATGTCCAAAAGGCATCCCCATTTCTGTTGCATGTTATGGGTTAATGTTCCTGTAATTACAGTGCCAGAAAAGCTTATTAAAGTTCTTTTGGTTTTACATGCTACAGTGGAATTGTTTGGTTTTGTCTAAAACAATGGTACTAAGTGACTTTTTAAATGGATCCCTTGCATTTGCATCAAAATAGGGTTTTTGGTGTTCCAAATAGTAGAAAAACTAGTTTCACTGGAAATGCTGACTCTGACAACAGCAAAATTAAGGGTAATTATTTCTAAAAGGAATAAAGTATGTGTTTATCAAACTACTATGGGGCAAAGGCTGCATAGAGAATACTCTGTCAGGAAGGAAAGAAACAAGAAAGCATGGTAAAATGAAAGAACAATGGTAGAGTAAATCCAAAATGAGTGTAGGAGTGAAGGAGTTAAAATCTCCTTTCAGAAAACAGAAACTCCAGAGAGAATGGGTAACAAATATAAAACTCTATGTGGATTATATACCTTAACACAGTGACACAAAAGGAATAGAAAAATATATGCTAGACAAGTGCTGAGGAAAAGATATAGGCACCCACCTACACAGTGAACAGGCACTAGCATTTGGCCATGTTGGTTTCAGTTTTCTCTTTCCAGTAAAGATAATTTTTTAGGTATAAGTGAAGTTCCTCACCTGTCATATTTATCTTCCTGCACAGAGGTGAGCACTACCCAGGAAATGGTGTGTTTACTTCTTGTCTGTTTTTAAACATATATATGTGTATACACATATGTGTACATATTGATGTATAGGTGTGTGTATATAGGTATATCTGCATATATCTATATCTAATATAGAGTGTTTCTGTTTTTAAATGGGACATAATTGATAGAATGTGCGTATCATTTTACAACTTGATTTTTTCACTCAACATTGTTTTTGAGGTTTAGCCATTTTCATACATGTTGATCTAGTTCATACATTTTAACTGCTGTATACTAAGTATTCGTTTGTTTGAATTACCACAATTTATTTATCCATCGCTATTGGTGGACATGTAGGTTTTTCCTAGTATTTTGTGGCAGTGAACATACTAACAGATATCTGTGCACATGTGTGCGTTTCTCTAGGGGTAAGTATATGGTGATGAAATTTCTGGGTCTTAGGGTTGGAAGTAAAATTTTTGGGTCTTAGGGTCTGAGCATCTTCATCCAAACTAGATGTTTCCAAACTGCTTTCCAAAGTGTACTCATTTATGTTCCTCCCAACAGTTTCTGAGAGCTGTTTTCAGCTCCAGCAGCCTGGATATTGTTAATGTTCAACCTCACCAGCAACCAGTGACATGGAAATTAACACAACAATGAAACATTGTGTCCATCAGAAAGCAGTGGTTTTTCTTTGTGATAATATCTAGTTTGGGCTAGCAAGAGAAGAAATGGAACACTCCTGCTGTTGGTGTGAATGTAGACCACAGCAGCCTTTTTGGAGAGCAGTTTGGGGAATTGCTATCTTTCAAAATCTAAAGTGGGGCCTGTCCTTCAGCCTGACGTCAGAACTTGGGTAGTGTGGATTAATACTATGCAGCAGTTAAAAACTGTATGTACTGTTATGGAGAGGTCTCCAAGACATAATGTTAAGTAAAAAAAAAAGCATATTGTAGAATACGTACAGTCTTTATGTAAGATAAAACCTTACAAAACCAAACTATATACAAAAATGCAAAGAAGTGTCTAGAGGCTACACAGCTAACTAATGGCAGCAGGTATCTCTGGGAAGGGACAGGGGGTTAGGGGAAAAGAGTGAGGAAGGGGGCTTTTGATTTTTTTCACATGAAATAATTAATTTGCTTGTTTTTTTTACAGTGTCAGTGTATTACAATGAATATTAGCAAAATAAGTAAAATCAAAATTTCCCAATTAAAAAAAAGGGAAAGATTATTATTCTCTCACTGCAAGTATGGAAACGGGTAGATGCCACAGTTCTTTTTTGCTGCACCTGGTCAAGCTGGTATTTATAACTTTGTCCCCCACAGACATTCTGTGTTCCCCTTTGGACTTCTGCCAGCACCTCAGCTGTCATGAGACTCCACAGTCTGTGTGTGACCTTAGAGGCCCTTGCTGGGCGGGGTTGTGGTGGTTCGCCTAATATTAACCTTTGCTGTTCCAGACAGGCACCATATGAGGAGGTAGGTTAGAGGCACCCAGGGGCCTTGGTCATCTTCCTGCTCCTGTGCATAACAGGAGCCCTAATTTTCCTTTGAGTCTGAATTAGTCAATGCAGGGAAGGAGACTCCACCCCAGCGCCTGCAGCCCCTTGCTGGTGATGGGAAAAGCCTATCACTGTAGAGAGCCCTGCTGGAGATGAGGCTCTCTCAACAAGGAACGAGACCTGGGCCCCAGGCCCTGAGCGGCCGGGACTTGGGACTTCAGCTAAGAGCATCTGACACTAGTGTGTAGAACCTTAAGTCTGGAGGGAGGCAGTCAGAGGAGCCAGGTAACACTATGTGTTTAATCCCAGGCTGCTGTGGTGATGACAGTGTGGTCCAAGCTGACGGTGCTGGTGGCCAATAGCTCCTGTGCAGGATGTGGCTGTGTCCTTGGCTGCCCAGTTCCCTTGTCCCTGCCAGTTTCTGATTCTTCAGCCTCCCAGAAAATTTCCCAAGCCCCACCCCCTCATAGCTTTCCAATAAAACTGTTCTGCTTAAATTAACTAGTGTTGGTTTCTGTTGTTGGTAATAAAGAACTCTAAATGGTGCTTGCCAATACCATAGGCCACTTTTGTGCCTGTTTTCCTAGTCAAATGCGATATCCCAAATGGCCAAGGGTCAGGAAATTTCTGTTTACAGCACAGTGGACCCATTTATTGGCACCTGGAGCCATCGTTCTAGAACAGCAGGCCATGGGGGCCGTAACTCACAAAGCAGAGTTCTTTTTTTCTTTCTTCATTTTTTCCCATCACCATTTATTGCCTCTACGCCCTTTTCCACTCCTCCTCGCAATCACCACACTGTTGTCCATGTCCATGAGTTCTCTCTCTCTTTTTTTTTTCAAAGTAGTCATTTTTGAGAGTAGGCTATTTGGCAGATTCATTGAAGGTGCCACCCCCCCATACTATACTTTTTGGTTCCTGACTGTTGGATAAATAGCCTCACATTTTGGTCACTGATTTGTAGCATAAGCTACTATATCTTACAAGAGAGCACCTCAGCTTCCTGAGGTGGTCCCCCCAGCTGGCACTGCAGCAGAACTGTCATAATACCCTTCCTGGATCGAAGGCACTACCTTCTCTTAGACCTCTGTTCCAGCTAGATCCTTCTATGTTTATTCCTGGACCTCTGACCTGAAATGTTCTTTCTAGTCCTGTCAATTCTATCCATCCTTTAAAGCAGTGGTTCTCAACCTGTGGGTCGCGACCCCTTTGGAGGTCGAATGACCCTTTCACAGGGATCGCCTAAGACCATCGGAAAACACATATATAATTACATATTGTTTTTGTGATTAATCACTATGCTTTAATTATGTTAAATTTGTAACAATGAAATTGGGGGTCGGGTCGCGGCATTAGGAAGGTTGAGAACCACTGCAAGAGTCCTGTTCACAAGAAAGCTCCTGAAAACAGTATTTTCTGATAGCCCTAGCTCCTTTCCTCTTTGTGTCCCATCTCTGTGGTCCCTGAGGTCAGGAGCTATCTATGTCTGAGTCATTTCCATAGTCATTGCACCCAGTGCTTGGCTCAAGTGTTCAGCAACACTTGCTAGCAGGATGAAGAGTTCCTCTTCTAGGGTAGGTTCAGGGCAGGGGTTGTATTCAGAGAGCCCAGGAGAAGTCATGGAGACTTGGCCCAACCAGGTTAATCGGACCCAGCCTTAGCCCCACTCCCACCCCAGCCTCTGTGGGCCCTGGTACCCTTCTTCCTCTCCTCCTATCACCCTCTGTCCCCTTTTCTGTTTGTCCACAGTGGTTCAGAGGCTGGTCTCAGGCCCAGGGCCTGTGGCTAGGAAATGGTGCTCATCTTGAAGATGGAGGAATATAGGCAACCATCCTCAGCACACCTCTCTTTGGCCTAGATTGAACCTCTGACAAACACAGAGCTGATGGGGTGTTTTTCCATCTGCTGCCTGGCCTCAGCCTTTGACGAGGCCTGGGATGGAGCAAGTCAGGTTCTGGAACTCCGGAGCAATGCTTTTAGCCTGCCTTGACATTCACTTCTGTAGAATGGGACTTTGCAGCTAGGCACATAACTGCAGGTTTCTACTGACCCCTGTGTGCCTCCCATCCTATTTCTTCCCTCCAGAATTCACTATCTTAAAGAGGGTGGTCAAATGTTAGTGAGGCCTCATCACCCCTTACATTGATATAAGATTTCCCCAGACCTCTTCACACTCAGTGATGTCACTTGGTCCACCTATCAGCCACTCAGAAGGTGAATGATAAGAAGGTTCAGAAAGATGGTAGTTCTGAAGAGAGAGCAATATTATGTGTGCTTGGTCGGGGAGGGCAGCAGGAGTGTCTTCTCAGCAACCCTCCCAGCCCCAGAGCAGTGAGGAGCATATGGGGGTCTGGTCCTCAGCAGAAGAGCCCAGACCAGCTCCAGTTAGACCCCCATCAGGTGCTCTGGTCACCAGCAGCACAGGCTGCCACCTCCCAGCAGCATGCAGAGAGAACAGGTAAGAGCAGCCTGGGTGGCCAGACAAGAGACACCAGGCCTTTGGGTGGGAAGAAGGGGAGAAACCAGACACAGGACCTGGGGTGGGGAGTGGGTTCTTCTATAGGAGCTGGGGACTAGGAGACAGTAACTCCTTATAGACTCAGAAGAATGCTGCTGAAGCAGGGACTGGGAGCCAGCCTGAAAGAATGTAGAGACAGGGCCCCAAAGGCCTGAAGACAAATCTCTAGGGACCCGGGGGAACCAAACCCAAAGCACTGCCCAGATCAGTCTTTCATTCAGCAAACATTGCTGCCCACTGTGCACTCAGAGCTGGGGATCTGAGTTGACTAGTCTAGTTCAACAAGTACAAGGTGGGCAAAAGTAGGTTTACAGTTGTAATACAAATAAATAATACAATAATTAATAAAGAATAATACAAGAATAAACTGTTTCGTGTACTCATGATTGTAAACCTACTTTTGCCAT